TCCAAAAGAAACAATGGGAGGGGGAGTATTAATTATTTTTTAACAATTATGAGGGAGTAAATAGCACAAAACTACCTTTCTCACACTCTTACAAAGAAAACTCAATTCTCTTCATGAACAAATGTTTAATTAGAACCTGGAAGCAAAGTTCTCTAAATGCTGGAAGTTAAAATTTGCACTTCTGAGTTTTTAGTCTTAACTGAAATCGGTGAATTCTTGTGTGAGAAAATAAGCAAATTACATGAAAGGAAATAAATTAGGGATTTGGGTTGTGATCTGCTGATACAATTATACACAAAATCCTTTTATGAGCATAAAATAATTGTATAGACATCGATGACTTCAGTCTCACAGTGCTTTAGCAATGTAAGTATTATTCCTATTTTTTATATGAGTAAAATGAGACAGAGCTAAGTGACTTAGTGACCCACAGGAAGTCAGTGACACAACCAGGAATAGAAGTGAGACCTCTCAGCAGCCAGTCCCATGCTTTAACCACAAGACCAACCACCTCCTTCCCATCTTAGATTAGCACAACGCCAAGTCTTGGTTGCATCAGCTACTAATTTCAGATGTCTAAGCATGTGTAATTGCAGAAATCTGAATTTCTGGGGTTGAGCAAGTTATATTCATAAATCTGTTTTAACACAATCTCCCAAGAATTTAGGACAAACTGTTTTTAAATGAGACTCAAAATGACCTTAAACTTTAAGTTTCTTTAAAGGATTCCTTCCAAAATAAATTTCTGATGGATTAACAAATCTGACAGATAGCAGTATATGCTTGAGCTCTTTATTCCTATATATTATTTTGCCTGCTAACTGTGTGTGATGTGCAATTTGGTCCCATTTGATCAGAATGGGACCAGAATACGAATATAATATGCAATTAGAGAAGAACCAGACCATCCTAGAGCAGAAGTTATTCTCTTCAAGAGAGGATGAAATCAGAAAAGTCAAGAGTTGGGGAGAGAATAAGGATCATGAAAAAAACATTATAATTAGAGGTAGGCAGCCTGGTGTGATCTTGGCTTTACTGAATTTTAAACGGGCATGATATGGATTTTGTTCTCTTTTTATCTAAGCCTCAAAGTTCAGGCAAAGGAGGCTCGTTTGTAGCGGGTTCTTGTTTTGACCCGCTCTACAGTTATCTATGAAAAATCTGCATTATGCCTTGTCCTCTCACTGCTGCTGGAGCCCAGGCACAGTGTGTGAAACGCGGCATAAAATACCGGAGTGAGATCTCCAAAAAGCTTGGAATCATACCAAGGGGGAGTCGTCTACCATCAGTTAAAGAAGTGCAGTTTATTCTCTAGGTTTTGCCATAGATCTGTAGAAAATGCTACCCTTAGCAGTTGAAACTTCTGATTTCCTTCAAGTAGAAGTATGTTATATCCAGAATGTGAAAGCAGAGGATAGATAGGAGTGTGGTGGAATATTATGACTTACTTTTTAAAAACATGCCTTCCCAGACCAAAAACTGTCAATAAGACAGAGAGAGGTAAGATATGCTAAGACAAATAAGATATGCTTTTTATCAATAAAAGAACACCAGATATATGAATTAAAATATGACATTACAAAAGAGAAAGTACACAGGGTAACTTTAGAAAAGGCAGCAATACAGTAGTTTTTTAGCTTTCCTAAACTCCATTACTTTAAACCAAGGCAATTTCCACAAGCAGAACTTGTTCTTCTGACCGGCAGATTTATGGTCACCCTGTTAGTGTATGAGATTGTCCTTTAGATGATAAAAGTTTGGCTACTTCTTCCTTCTATCCAAAATTCTGGGACAGGATGCACTGTGTGATTTGGGATTTTAAACTTGTGTAATGCACTCAGAGCCTGAAAGCACAGACACAATGGAAATATCAAAACTAAGTAGAAGTTGGAAATTGTACATTTGCAGAGAGGGGAAGAGGTATAAATCTTTCACCTCTATATCCTTATAAGATTTCTACCCTTTTCATGCCAATCATACAAATCACAGCATCACAGAGAGTCTCTGGTATATTCATTGTTCTAACCATAAACCCTCCCCGGCATTCCTTAGAAACCATTGCACAGAAATTCATTCATTAAGATGGGAAAGAGAAATTAAACTGTTTAAGGGAGGTTATTTGGTCATTACTAATACCTTTGTCCATCTTGAGATTCCACAAGATTTCACCCTTTCTCATTGCAGGGAGATTATTTTTGCCATATGATTCAATTTAATCTGCTTCAAATTTTCTGAATAATTTAAATTAATAATGTACAGTCAGTCAGTAATAAGTGTATGCAGAAATAATATTTTTTTACATGCAATAAATGCTTCAAAGAGACTTACTATTTAAAACTGAATTATTAAAATTAATATAAAATACAGTTCATTCACATGAAAAGAACTAACTAATGCTTTTATATCCAATAAGAAAAACAAAGTATAATTGATCTTCTGTGAAGACAAATTATGATCTAATTTTAAACCCAGAACTGATGCTGAGAGGCTCTTTTCTGCTTCTCTTTGAATGTCAGGAAGAATTGCCCATGGTTCAGGAAGGCCTGAGTCTGATATTTCAAGCTGGTTTCATAACACTTAGAGGTCCCAGCCAAACTTAGGAATTCTCTCAGATAAGTCAGGGAGAAAGTCTGCATCATCAAGAACTGTGCAGTCAAATAATGCAAACAAAAGTTTATGAGAAACTGATAATTTCTTTATTATGACCATTTCATTACAGTATAAAGACACCAAAATTAATTATAGAATAGATAATTTATTTGTAGCCTATTCCATTTCTTTCCCAATACAAAAATTATTGGTTTTCTGTGTTTCATGTGTGGAAAAAAAACACTCTTTGTTAAGGAAAAACTGATTAATTCAAATTATAAATAAGGCATACTTTTAACTACCAAAGAAAATTTATGGGTTCTTCATCTCTTGATTCTTCAAAATAAGATTAGATGTCTGCCTAAAAGAAACATTTAATGAGGTACCAAATCCTACCTAAAAATCTACGTTAAGCAGGAAATCAGACTAAGTAACTTTTTTCCTTTCCTGTCTCACTCCGTCAAAACGTATATTTACAAAATCTAAGTAACTTGTACCTAAGTCAACATTACTGTTTCTGCTTTATATTTTATGAGTTCTGTTCAAAGGATGGACTTGCTAAGAAGAATATAATGCTAAGAACAGAATTAAAATGATACGGTGTTTGTAATACTTTCCTGAAAGCTGTGTTTGGCTGATTTCCCTGGGCTGAGTTAGATATGCCTGTCTCATCCGTGCAATTTAATTAAAATCAAAACTTTGTATTTCTGCTTCACTTCTGCACTGATTAAAAGTCTCTACTCAAAGTCGGAGTGCACAGTCACAGTTGGATGTTCATCAGTACCTGACAATTTTTGGAATGGTTCCAGTTTCATGGAGTTTTAAAAAATTTGCATGTTAAAACCTTGATTTTTGGGAGGGATTATCCAGATATTTAAACTCAATTGGTACATTCTCCAGCAGTTCACATAGAGATCAGTATTATTGTGTTCTCATCAGAGTAAATCAGAACTCTATGGAGCGTCCAGCTAAGATCCTTCTCCTTTTAACTTCCTATTGAAACTTTACAGATATTGCTGTAATGTGGTTAGAAATATTAATAATTTACGTATTTAAAACCTCTGTTAATGTTCAGATTATTTTACCCACATTTGCCTGTTTGTTCATCCATGACATTTTGAGTTAATTCTGAGGTTTTGTTTTACTCGTTTTCAGTACCTGGCTTCTAATTCTGCATGAGGGTATTAATAAAAATAACAATTTAAAAAAATCCCAACCAAACAAAAAATAGTCACTTACAAGAAAATATTTCCACATTTCTAGGGCTAAAAAATCAGATGGGGGGAAAAGCATGAATTGAAAAAAAATTCCTTGATCTGTTAAGGCAGAGGTAACACCTCAAGCCTATACAAATAGACAGATAATTCTCAAAAAGGAACACAAGGCTTCAAGCCTCTACAGACAGAAAGGTTGTTCTCATAAACAAAAGGCTGTAGGCAAAGTTAGTATCTGTAGGTAGTCCAGGTATTTTGATGTGTTCAACTGTAATCTATAAATTGCCTTCAGTATACAAATAATAAAGCAAATGCAGGCTCTCTTTCAAAATGCTTGATGACTAAGAACCATAATGAGGCAAATTTAGAATCCTTCAATCTTCCAGTGATGTCCAAGGGATCAAGAGGTTTTAAAGACAAACTGTTGTATCCTGGGGCATCTTGAGTTACGGGATGACTCTCTAAAACCTGTTGATTTTACGCTTTTTTTCCCTCATCTAACTTCTTTTTAAAAGAATCGGAGAGTGAGATAGAGGAGGTGACATGCTTGTTGGGACTTGCCGCTTCTGGAGAGGTACCGAACACAGCCTATACCGCTTGTCTCTGCATTCCTGGAGGGGGGAGAAGGGGGGAGAGATAATCTCTAGCTTTCAAAAAAAAAAAGTGAGGGGAAAAGAAGAATTTGATTTACCTCTGTTACTGCTAAAAACCTTTTCAGAAAAGCCTTTACTCCTGTCACAGCAGGACACAACCTGACGTGAGGTGACCAAGCCAACTACACAGCGCAGAGAGGAGGAGGCTGGAGAATGGGAAGGCAAAAGAGAAAGCAGTCAGTAGGCGGAAAAACTGAATTTTCAGTTACGGGAGATTACAGGGAGCAGAGATCAAATTCCAGATCCACTCCGGGGCCCGCGCTCTGCCCTCAGGTACAGGCAGGTGATTCCGCTCGGCGGGCGCGGACCCGGAGGGAACTGGCTGGGCTGGAGGGACGATCTGAAGGGGAGAGGACGGAGCCGCGGCGCCTCCTCCCCCTCGTTCTCCTCCTCATGGACCCGCTGCCCCGCTTGTCCCCGTCCCTGTGGCCGCGGCCGCCCCCGTTCCCATCTCCCCTGCCCCCGGCCCGTCCCCTCCGCCCGCCGCCCCCTCGGCCCCTCGGCCCGCTCCGCTCCCCGCAGCGCCCGCCGGGGGCCGGCGGGAGGCGGCGCCGGCCGGGGGAGGCGGTCCCTGCCCGGGAGGACGGGCCGAGCCGGGGAGTTTATCCCACTAGAAGGGAACAGTTGCTCCCGCTGAGACTTGACAGCGCCAGGTCAGTGCGGGCTGCGGGGACCGTCCCCCGAGGTGAGGGGCCGGCGGGGGCGTGAGGAGAGCGCCGGGCTAAGGGAGCCGCGGGCGGGGGCGGTGTGAGGGGCCGAGGGGCCGGGGGGCTGCCGGGCTCGGGGCGGGCAGAGCGCGGAGCCCCGGCCCGCCGGGGATGCTCGGAGTGCCGGGGCTGGACGGTGGCTCCGCGGGAGCGGGGCGGGGATCGAGGCTGTTCCTGGAGCTGGAGGAGAGCGGGGCGCTCGGCCCGGCCCGGGGGGAGCGGGGCTGGCGGGGCCGCTGCGGAGCCCGCGGGGCGGTGCGGGAGGGGAGCGCGATGCGGGGCCCGGAGCACCCCCGGCTGCCTCCAGGTGCCTCTGCCGGAGCCTCCTGCTCGCGGGAGCGTGGGCGCTGTGTCCATGGTGCTGTACCGGGGCCGGCGCGGGCGCTCCCGGGGAGGATGCTCGGGGGCTGCGGGGGGGATTCCCCCGGGCAGGGGGAGCTGATGCGGCTCCGCGGCCTCGGGGACAGGCACCCACAGGGCAGTGCTGGGCTCACCTGGCTCCTGCTCTTAATGAATGAACAGCCTTTTACTTATTTATTTATTTTAAATTTCTCAATCGCAGAAAGTCGGGGAGCCTTTCTGAGCCTGCAACAACTAAGATGCTATGTTGAAATGTATTGTGTCTTGATGCCATGCCTCAGGTTCGCAGGAGCATTTTGTAATCTTCCTGGTGTCATTTCTCTCCAGGGTATTCTGCAGCTAGAGAGTGCAAGTTCCTGTGGTGTTGTAACTTTGAGGCACTGTGTTCACACGAGAATACAATGCTGACTTAAAAGGGATGCATTTATTAATATTAGTGATGTAAGGCTGGTATTTATTCTGATTGAAAGCTCAGGAAATTATCAATTTCTTCATGTACTGTGGAGTTTAAGTTCCTTTAAATCAGATGGATCAACTATAATTCTTCTGGAAATAACTAGGTTTTGACATAGCCTTGTATTTGTGACTCACTGCCCCATCTCTGAATGAGCTTTTGATGTGGCACATGATTCCATTTAAAAATGTCTATTAAAATTTTCTTTTTCTGGTACCAATTAGTCTATAATTTAATAAGTAATTTACCTTTCAAAAGATTACTATGAGTTGTTACTAGTTAACTAAAAATTCCCAGTGTACACCAAGTGACTATGACATACGATACTCAGCCCTCTCCTTTGAAAAGAAGTTGCAAATGTTGTGCTCTCATTAATATCAGAATTTGTTGCATGAAGTCATGTGTTTGACATCATTATTCTCTTTGACTGTCACAAAAAAAATTGCTGCAGAAATTGCTTAGAGATTTAATTACGAGATTGTAAGGAATTGCTGTTAGCAGTGCGTTAAGACGGCACAATATAAGCATGGACTTGTCAGGGGGAGAGAGAGCTGAAAAAACAGTTGGCATGGACTTTGATAACTAATCAGAAATATAATTTAATGGTATTTTACACAGGCAAGTTTTGAATTTTGATGTTCTTAGACATCAGTTTTTTAAAATACCCCACTAGCTGGTAGTGGTTCAGAGACTATACACTTGTAATTAGCCTTAAGATAGTGTGTGTTTCTTAGAAATGCTTCAATGTCAAATTCCTGGATAATACAATGTATTAAACATCAGCATTCCATGAAACTTCCATTACAACATAGAATATATAAATAATCCTTGTTTTCCTCATTTATATTTCATATAATGAATTCTCAGAAAATTCTCACCAAAACAAGGTGGCAAAACATTAGAATTTAATTGAAAAATACTGAAGCTATGCCTTTTAACCTTCCTTATGGTACCTATAAAAACACCCACTATCAACGCTGCTTCTAAATCTGACTCTATCGTGAACTTCTTTTCATAACCATAAGTCCATTTCTAAGTCAATAAAATAAATTTAGGTGGAGCTTCAATTACTGTCAGTAAAATTTTCTGCTTATAGCAATGGCTAATGAATTTTGAGAAAAGATATATTGTAAAAACAAGGGAAAGTTTAAAAGTAGAATAAAAACTCTATCTAGTACAAAACCGGACTAAATAACGAAAAGGGCACTTGGTTGTTTCACCTTGATTTCTGAGGCCCTTTTTTTTTACATATAATCTGTTCAGAATGGAGCTGGATATATTTACTGGGCATTTTTGTAGCCTAATTGTGGATCTCTAGTTGCCTGTATTTGATATTCAGAATCTGCATTTCTTTTACAATCTTTTGTCACAAGGATTATTCCCATGGCCACCAAAGTCATGCAGTAAAACAGTTTCCAGTGCAGTTTATTTCTCAAGGGAAATTATAATACAATTATAAAGTCTCCATGCTGGGTTCTTTTGGAGTCATGGATACAATACTTCCCATTAGTTATTGCTACTGGTTTATATTTTTAATCACTGATAGGCTTATTAAATGTAGGATATTAGATGATGAGTCCTAATCGTTCCAATCGTTTCCATAATGATGTATTTTTTTTAGCAGCAGGGATCTATTTTTCAGGTACTTTATGCCAAATGTTCTTTATGTGTCAGATAACTTTTTGTGAGCTAACAAAAGAAAAAGTTAGAACCAGTCCAAAGCAAGAGAACATGGTTGTACTCAAGTCCTACACACCCATGACACAAATAGAAGTTGGGGTTTCCCATTAAGAGGTCTGTTCTCAAGGATTTAATTTAACTAGTACAGAGTACTTGGGGAAAAAATCTCCTCCTTGCCCCCATCTTTTTCCCTATGGAGATTTTTCCAAGGCAGAATGAAAAATGAAAGAGCCATAAGATTTGTTTTCAGATATTTTGATTCTCAGGAATATGAAATGTAAATTGATTCCTACATTAAATGGTAAAGCTTTTACGTTTCTTTTGTCTGTTCCCCCCTCCCCTTTTTATTTTATACAAAGGAAAGTCTGGGGCTTTTTTTCAGTTGTGCTTTTTTTAAATGTAGACTAGTCCATCTTTTCTCAGTTGTACCTGCTTTCAGGTTCCAGTGACAATGTAGAAAATGCTGGTGATGAGCAAATTGTCACCCCAGTACTAGAACCTGTGGTGAGTGGCTTGGGATACTCCACATCTTGCAGGTATAAGGAGATATATAAGGAGAAAATACACGTGGCAACCCTAGGGAAGACTGAGTTTCTACTTCAGCATCAGGTCTTCTACCGCAACGAGGAATTCTCTTCTGTCTGTCCCTTGAAAGTTGTCAGCTCTTCTCACAAGGCAAAAGTAGAAGGAAATCTATCGTAGACTCTTGTTCTTTAAATTTAGAGTGGGGAAAAAAAAAAGCAAGACCTGGTTTTCAGTCTTCATATCTGAAAACTTTCGCAGAACTAAAGTCAATTTGATAAGGTTCACATTTTTCTCCCACTCCACCCACACCTTCCATTACATTATTTGGCCTGTTTGCCCTCTCATAAACCAGTCTATAGAATTGAACTAAACAATGACATCATTCTCCAATTAAAATTCATGATATGTGAAATATATTTTTAATTACCTGTGTTGCAGTAGTACCCAGCAGCCTAGTCAAAATTGGGGCCATCTTGTTACTCACTTAAATGTAATAATTGCCCTTATCCTTAATACTATATGATCTATGACATGAGAATGCAAATATTTACACATTTACAATGGACACACAATATCGGGGTGCAATTGATGCAAAGAATTAAATTTCAAATTCCAGTGATTTATGCTTACAACAGTAAATGATTCTTACAAAATTATGACAACTAAGTTATGTATATGTGTAATAAATCCCCATATTTACAGCAAAAACCCCTCAACTTCTAGGCAGTATCCTATTCTCTAAATAGAGCTGTTCTTACTTAGCAGTTTCACTGGCTTTCACTGCAAATAGAGAAAATATCCTGCTTGGAAAGGGGAGGATAAGGCACTACCTCAGGAGCCAGGCAGTGCATTTCTGGAATGGACTAGCAGGTGATGCTTTGTGGACTTGCATCAGCCACCCCCTTTCCTCATGACTAAGCAGATCACCTCCATGCCATGCAGTCTGCACTTTGAGGACAAAGTCTAGGAATTCAAGTCTATGAATCCCAAAGTCTACTCTGCTGGTTGATAATTAGCAATTTAAAAAACACAAAGCTTACGTAGCTTTGTCAATGTATGTTCAGGCCCAAGTGGGCTCCATGCCTGCTGAGGTGAACGTATGTGTGTGGTTACGGATGTGCTTGTAGGGCATGTGTGTGTGTGTAGGGAGGGTATTAACCTATTATAGAGAGGCTTCCTACTTATCCCAGCAAGACTGAAAGGCTATATATAACTTCTGATAACACAGTATAATAAATATTGGGTAATATCCCAGTAGAAAAATATACAGAACACTCCACACTATTAAAGAAGTGTTGGTTTATTGGAAGGTGCACAGAGTATAGAAAAAAGATCCCAGCTTCTCTGAGGTCAGTGGTGGATCTGCTGTTTCAGTAGGGTCAGGTTTGCAATCTATGTTCAGTGATAGAAATTTTGTCCTATACACTGTTTGCTTCCACACAATTGCTACTGAATTACTACTCATGTGTGTGTTTAGTGTGCTGAAAATACGGGGTCTGACTCGAAAGGAATTGCTGTTTGCTCAATGAGACTGAAGGCCTGAAATTAGATAACCATGAATATATATTATAGCAAAAGTCCTACCTATTTTTCTTTAAATTTTATAAGAAATGCCAGTGTAACAGGGGGAGTATATTTATCTGGAGTACTGGTGTTTGTGATCCATTTCTTTAAATGAAATATTACCGTTTTGATACGGACACTGAAGTTGGTGTTAGTTTATTCCAGACCTTCAAATTAGGCACTAGTTCTAGTTTTGGTCTTACAGCAGCTGTCATGGGAGGAAAACAGTGTACTTTGTGCTGCTTTATGGACTGTTGGAATTTCATGAGCTCCATGGGGACTCCAGTCTTTCCTCTTTATCACAGATCTGATTGAGGCACATTTGAGATTCCCTTTTGTCTGAATCCTGTACTTTTTTATAGAC